GCAAATATTATTTGCCTCGACTGGAGCGTTTGAGCTACCTGAACTGCCAAAGCTAAGAACACCATCTAAGAAATTGCCCCACTAGTTCACCAATTAAGTTCCCTCATACTTCGTGTTAATCATTTCTGTTTTATCGCATTAATCTAGTTTTTACAGATACACACTCTAAATAACAATACACCTTAAAACTAAAGCGTAAGTTTCAACATTTAATCTTTTTCTATATCGGTTAGCTTCTATACCCATCTCAATGCCATCACATCTCATTTTCATCCATTTTTGACAATGTGATACCTACTTTGACATTATTTTTATGCACAGAACTGGGTACATTAAATAAACTATCGTAAGTCTTCCTGGATGAAAGTATGGTCCTAATAAAACCCTATCCTAAACTAAAGAATTCAACAAACCGGCTATCAAAACAATCTTTGTGTATATTGTGACCTTGAAATAAACACTTTATACAATTTATTTATTCGACCGATTTGATGAAATCCTCTGGACTTTTTTAGACCATCCTTTAGTTAGTCGGCGCTATCTAAATCTTCTCCATCTTGTTTGTGACTTTTTTATTTGTCTTCAGCCCCTGATAAATTCGGAGCCGCCAGAGCCTACAGAAGACCTTAAGGCATTTGAGCGACGTCTCCGAGAGATCATGGACGGCCTTCAGCCCAAAGCGCGATTCTGGCGCCTGCTTCTAGTGTTAGCAATCTCCACCAGCTGCCTTACCGCATATCTCTGGCTCATAGATCCTGCCACTTACGAGGTCAATTTCTTCCGCTCGCTCAGAAACCATCCAGAGTTCATAATCAGCTTGTTTGCGTTATCTCTCCTCTTTGTCTCTGGCGCCCATAAAAAAGTGGTTTTATCTCGAATAATTGCCGAGCGAAGTCGCCTTGTCTTGGCAGAGTACAATATGACATGCGATTACTCTGGTAAACTGATTCTACGGCCCCGGCCAACTCCATGAACTTTATGATCTTCCATCTATTGTTTATTATTACATTTAAAGAGGTTTTTCTCTTGTGTACAGCTCCATATGAAATTTTCTCAATTTGTCCACTGCTTTGATAACCCTCCATGCACTCTACACACAAATAAACATACACACAGGCATATATATATATATATATATATATATATAT